GCGCCATCGGCGGCGCCGCCTGCGGCGGTCGGGGGGGGGGGGGGGGGGGGCGCGAGCCCCGACCGCGGCGCCAGCTGCCTGCGGCGCTTGGGCGGCCTGGGCGCGCTGCTGGGCGCGCAGGCGGCACTGCTCCTCATTCTTCCCCATCTTGAAAGTGGCGACGTTGAAGGCGGTCTTGGCAGCATCCGCCTCTCTCGTCGTTGTCCGAGCCGCCTCGAGGTTCTGCACCGCCTCGACGCGGCTCTACCGCATCTCTTCTATCGTAGCCGTCGCCCTGTTGTAGCGGTCCAAGCCCCGTTGGACCTCCTGGTAGGCAAGACGTTCTTGCTTGGTGGCGTACTCGACCTTCTTGGCCAGCTCAGTCTGCGCAATAGCAGCAAGCTTATCCAGCTCGCTGCCAGAATACCCACGAACCTCAGGAACAGGGGGGGAGCAGCCTCACGTGCCACGCCCACCAGAGCAGGGTAATGAACAGACCGCTTCTCCAGCTCCCGCAGTAGCTGAGGTGGCATTGGCACCGCAGCAGCGCCAGGAGCACCTCCACCCATTTCCCAATCGCCATGACCAGGAGTAGCGTAGTCAGACGTGGACTTGTCCTTGCCACCGCACTTGCTGCAGGCGCGATGACCGTGGTGAATGAACTCCCAGTGATTGCAGACGGGGCAGACCTGGTACGAGCGTTCCTTTTCGTTCTTCTTGTAGCTGACCTTGGGCACTGACTGCCATACCCAAGAACCACCGCCATCAGCAGCATGCCACGCACACGTACAGTGAATGTAAAAGACACTGTCAGACCACCAAGGGTCTTGCCTGCCGCGGACTAGCGGTATCCGTGCGTGCCAATGCGGGCTCAGCCCGCCAAAGCGTTAGTCTTGAGCCAAAATGGCTACGGAGGAGGACGACGAAGAGGAGGAGGAGGAAGAGGAGGAGGAGGAGACGGAGGAGGAGGACCAGTGTAAACCCAGGAGCCATCAACGATGCTGGAATAACTCCTCCCTCCAAGCTTCCACTTCATCGGCCCCTACAACGGTCCATTTCCATTGAAGGAACTGCCTCTTTGGAAGACAACCGTTTGAAGACCCTGAAGCATGCCCAAACACTGTTCTCGGGATTCCAACCCCACGGAGCAACCTGACTGTTGCGTCTTCACAATCCTGAATCGCGCTAGAACGTCATTCTTGGGACTTCAACAAAGCGAATCAACATAACTGCTGCACATGCGTAATCCTGAATCCGATCAGACACCATGTCTGGCACGTTGATGATGGGAATCCATGAAAACTGTTGCAAATGTTTACAACGAATGTGCGCCACGTTAAGTCGAGACCCACATGTTGAAAACCACCCGACCTCAATCCATGAAATTCTTGCAAATGTTTTAAAACGAATGTGCGCCGCGCTAAGGCGAGAGCCAAATTTTGAAAACCAATACCCTCAATCCGTGACATTCTTGCGTTGTTGATTCGAATGTGCGCCGCGCTAAGGCGAGAGCCTCATTTTCAAGGCCACCCGCCCTTCCATCTGTGAAACTGTTGCCAACGTTTAAGGTTCAGAGTCATAAATGGTGAGGAAGTCTCAGACGGAACGCCTGGCCCGCCCTGAAAACTGGCCTCGGGGTGCGACAGGGAGAAAATATCTACAAGGAAAAGGAATGGAGGAGGAGGAGGAGGAGGAGAAGGAGGAGGAGGAGGAGGAGGAGGAGGAGGAGGAGGGTCAGGTTCCGATGTCTTCGGGTCTCTTCGTCGATCCTTGACTCTCTGCCAGCCTCGCGATGCCTTCCGTCCGCCTCGCCTCGCCGAGAGCGTTCTGGGCGTGCCCGGCTCGTCCCGAGCGCCCGCCCGAGGGCCCGAGCTGTGACCCGAAAGCCACCCGGCGTCGGGACCCTGCAAGCGGTGTGGTGACCACACCGCGTGGTGAGTCAGTGGGGATCGACCACACCGTGTGGTGGTGGTGGTGGTGGTGGTGGTGGTGGTGGTGGTGGTGGTGGTGGTGGTGGTGGTTGTGGTGGTGGTGGTGAGGAGAGGAGGAGGAGGAGGAGGAGAAGGAGGAGGCAGAGGAGAGGAGGAGGGGAGGAGAGGAGGAGGAGAGGAGGAGGAGGAGGAGGGGGAGGAGGAAGAGGAGGGGGAGGAGGAGGAGGAGGAGGAGGAGGAGGAGGAGGAGGAGGAGGAGGAGGAGGATATTCTTCGGGAGCCGGTGGGGATTCGGGGTCGCCGCACGGTTTTGGGACTCGGTCCTTCTCCGAGGACGCCTCGGGCGACCGGGGCTCCGAGGTCCCAGCCCTTTGCGGCGACGGGTGGCGCGGAGGCCGTTGGGGCTTCCGAGGTCACCACGCGGTCCTGCCCTACAGCCAACGCGCCTAGTAAGGACGCGCGCCACGCGCGCCTTCCTCTAGGGTACCCTTGTGTCCTTGCCTCTGCGGCCCGTCCTGTGCCGTTTTTACTGGTCGCCCGCCGCCCACGCAAAAATCCCAACTTCGGCCTCCAAGAGTCTTGCGGCCTTGCCACCCCGTCCTGACTGCACGTTTTGACTGTGCACGGTTTTGGGGGGGCCCGAAGAGGAGGACCTCGGCGTCACCCTAATCTACTAATGCTATGTGCGCGTCGCCTCCCCAGGGGCGACGCGGGCACCGAGAAATCTTATAGTACATGTGCCGTGGCGGGCGCTTTCTGGCCACGCCGCTCGGGAAACGATGTACTACAAGATGGGTACCCTGTGTGTGTTCGGGGCGGGCGCACGCCGCCAAGGAGGACGTACACTACTGGCATGTCCTTGACTGTGCACGGTTTGGGGGGCCCGAGGATCGTCTTCATGGGCTCCTATCTACCTTGATTGCGGGAAGAGCCCCGCTTTGAAGGCGACCGGCTGCAAACTCTTTCATCGTGCCAAAGCCCGATTCTTTGGACTTCAACGCCGCGACTCAACGCTACTGTCGCGATCTGACGGTCGGTGCCAGAACATTATTCTTGGGAGCATCATTCTTGGGACGCCAGCAACGCGAGTCAACGTGATTGTCGTGCCCTGACATCCCTAGATTGTGCCACATTGTGCCAACACACATGTTTTGGGGAACGGCGCCTTAAACGCAAACTTTTAGCGCTCCGCGCGGATTCCTTGGGTCTGCGCTGGACCTCCCTCCCTGGCGGCCGCCCCGGCGCCGCGCCACCCCTGGCGCGCTCCACGCGCCAGGGGCAGGGCTCGTTTCGATTCCTCCGACTCGACTCGATTCGATTTCGAGGGCCTCCGATTCCGATTCGATTCGACTTGGGATTCCAATTCGGGTTCCGATTCCTTATTGGAGGCATGCTAGCCTGCCAGTTTCCGCCGAGTCGACTTTTCCCGACTCGGCTGCCGATTTCCGCCGACCCGACTCATTTCGATCGCCGATCCGACTTGTCGATTCGATTCTGGACTCTCCTGCATGGGCGGGGCGTCAGCGCAGATCCGAGAAATCTGCGCGGAGCGCCAAAGAATTTGCGCTTATGCCGTTTTTTCTTCTTCTACCTGGGGGGCCCGACGAGGACCCAGATATCCGGCTGCTCCAATTTTTTCGATGCGTGGGCCCTGGAGGTCCAGACCACTGCCCTAGGGCCAGTCTGTCGTCTGGGATCGTTTTTTGACGGTCCCGAGGCCCGGCGAGGGCCCCCGGAGGCCGAAAACAGCCAAAAGTCCGCCCGTTCCACGCCGGACCTCTGGGGAGGGCACGGAGCGCACGATCGTCTCCGCTGGCGGAAGGCGGCGGGAAGGGCGGCGGAAGGCGGCGGCAGCACAGCATGCGCCCCCGAGGAGTGACATCGTTTTTTTGTTTGGTTTCAGGATGTCCGAAATCCGCCATTTGGGGGGCCCGATGAGCAGGACGTGGCGCACACGATCCGGCCGCTCCAGTTCTTTCGAGGCGCGGGCCCCGGGGTCCAGACCGCTGCCCCAGGGCGAAGTCGGGCGTGTCCCTCTACAGGGGGATATTCAAAGATAGACAAAAAGTAGTATGGGGACTATTTTGGAGGTATTTTTGACCATTTGGGAGTATATTTTGAGTTTTTGTTTGTTTTTTTCTGTTGTTTTTTCATTTTTCGTCGAAATCCCCCTGTAGGGGGACAGGCCCGACTTCGCCCTAGGGCTGGTTTGGCGTCCCCGGGGCCCGGCGAGGGCCCCCCGGAGGCCGAGAACAGCCAAAGTCCGGCCACAGTTTTTTCGGGGGGGAGCGTCGGATCTCTCATTGGCGCCCACATCGCGGAGCGGAGTTCGCTCGGAAAAGAATCGGATGGGCGCGGAGTGTCCTGGAGAATCTCGCTCCGGATTTCGAAGTGAATTTCGTGCGGACTTTTTTGGGGGGCCAGGAAGGAAGGCTACAAAATATCCACGCGAAATTCACATCGTCTTTTCGCTCGCCGCTTCGTGGTTCCGCATAGACGGAAATCCACGTGAACATTTGCAGCACGTCTGCTCCACGTCGGATCTCTGGGGAGGACATGGCGCGCACGATCGTTTCCGCCGGCGGCCGTCTCCGCCGGCGGAAGCCAGCGGAAGGTGGCGGCAGTAAAACATGCACCCCCAAGAGATGAAAACGTTTTTGGCTTCAGGATTTCCGAAGTCCGCCATTCATGAGCGACGCAAAAGGAAACGGGTTCGTCTAAACCGACATCGGCGCGCAAGCTACCCGCCTAAGGTCGCGCGTGAGCGCCGTCGTCTCCACTGTGGCTTGCCGCGCTGGTGGCCCGCGTAAGCTTCGGCGTAAGGTTGCCGCGCCATCTCGCGCGAGACCCGTTTCTGATCGTCGCTCGTTCCCAGAGGTCAACGTCGTGATTTTTTCCACACGGGGTCCCCAGAAGTCTAGACCCATTCCCCAGGACGGGTTTCTCGTCCTGGGTCGTTGTTTGACGGTCCCGAGGCCCGATAAGGGCCCCCAGGGACCGAACATAGCGAAAGACCCACGTCCTGATTTTTTCACGACGCGATCATGTCTGTTTTTTTTTATCGCCGCTCGTTTGGGGGGACCTGGCGAGGAGGACCTGGCGCACACGATCGCGGAGGTGGCGCGCACGGTCGCCGAGGCGGGCCAGGCGGCGCATGGGGCCGGCGAGGCGGGCGATCGGTCGGCGCAGGGGGCCGCCAGCGATCGAGGCGAGGAGGCTGCCGAGGAGCGAAGCAGCACAGACTTTGGCATCGCTCGGAGCGAGGAGCGAGGAGGAGCGAGGAGGAGGAGGAAGAGGAGGAGGAGGAGGAGGAGGAGGAGGAGGATGGAGAGGAGGAGGAGGAGGAGGAAGGAGGAGGGAAGGAGGAGGAGGAGGAGGAAGAGAAGGAAAAGGAGGAGGAGCAGGAGGAGAAGGAGGAGGAGGAGGAGGAGGAGGAGGAGCAGGAGCGAGGAGCGAGGAGCGAGCGAGCGGGAGCGAGGAAGCGAGCGGAGGAGGAGAGGAGGAGAGGAGAGGAGGAGGAAGAGGAGGAGGGAGGAGGAGGAGGAGGAGGAGGAGGAGGAGAGGAGGAGGAGGAGGAGGAGCGAGGAGCGAGGAGCGAGGAGCGCGGCGGAGGAGGAGGAGGAAGAGGAGGAGGAGCCAGGAGGAAGCGAAGAGGAGGAGGAGGAGGAGGAGGAGGAGGGAGGAGGAGGAGGAGGAGAAGGAGGAGGAGCGAGGAGCGAGGAGCGAGGAGCGAGGAGCGAGGAGCGAGGAGGAGGAGGAGGAGGAGGAGGAGGAGGAGGAGGAGGAGGAGGAGGAGGAGGAGGAGGAGGAGGAGGAGGAGGAGGAGGAGAGGAGGAGGAGGAGGAGAGGAGGAGGAGAGGAGGAGGAGGAGGAGTGAAGGATGGAGCGAGGAGGAGCGAGGAGGAGCGAGTAGGAGGAGGAGCGAGGCGCCGTCAGCGAGGAGGAGGAGAGGCGGGCGAGGAAGGAGGAGGAGCGAGGAGGAGGGCAGGAGAGGAGAGGAGCGAGAGCGAGGAGCGAGGAGCGAGGAGCGAGGAGCGAGGAGCGAGGAGGAGAGGAGGAGGAGGAGGAGGAGGAGGAGGAGGAGGAGGAGGAGGAGGAGCCGGGAGCCGGGAGCCGGGAGCCGGGAGCCGGGAGCAGGGAGCCGGGAGCCGGGAGCCGGGAGCCGGGAGCCAGGAGCCAGGAGCCAGGAGCCAGGAGCCAGGAGCCAGGAGCCAGGAGCCAGGAGCCAGGAGGAGGAGGAGGAGCCAGGAGCCAGGAGCCAGGAGCCAGGAGCCAGGAGCCAGGAGGAGGAGGAGGAGGAGGAGGAGGAGCGAGGCAGAGGAGGCAGTGGAGGCAGAGGAGGAGACGGAGGAGGAGGAGGAGGAGGAGGAGGAGGAGGAGGAGGAGGAGGAGCGAGGACTGCGAGGAAATTTGGTCCCTCAGTACATCACGATTCTGCAGGCACCTCGTAAGTTCCCACGTGGGCGCCCACAAGGCCCCCATCCTGCACCACAAGCTGAATGGGAAGGAGTTTTTCAAGGTTTGGAGGACGGAGGAGATCAGCAGCATATGAACACTGTCTTCAGGAGCTTTATGGGATTGTTAGAAAAGGAACTTCTAGCAGCACATGGTACTCCTGAGTCTGAGTGGAAGAGATATGCTGGACGAGGACTGGGCTGGAAACTAAAAACCATCCCTGCCCTTCCCCCCTCCTCTGGACCCTACCCTGTGGCGTGCCCCGTCAGCAGGGCCTGGAGGAAGTGGGGGAACTGGGCTCAGGAGCTCTCCAGGATCAGAGCCCAGGATTCTGTAAAAGGACTCTGTAGGAGCAGCGTTGTTCGCCAAGATACTACTTGGTAATCCAGAGATTCGTGGCACGGAAGAATGGAAAAGTATGTGGTATCTGGATGCAGGATACCTAGCTTGGTGCGATTCAGAAGCTTTAGATGACTTGCGTGCGCGTGCTGGAGGCTACGCTAAGAAGCTCGAGGCGCAGTTTGCCAGCTCCCGCGCCAAGCAGTGGCGAGGTTTCGTTCAGGAGGCAGTGCAGGCAGGAGCAGGTCGAGCCCACCAATACACTAAGCCCCCAGTGGGATGGCGCCCTGTGGTACCCCGACAAGGACAATCACCTCCTGGGGCCTCAGACCTCATTGAGCAGAACCTCCAGGACTGGGAACGCACATGGGACTCCATTGGCTCCAACAGGCCCCTTGAAGATCCAGAAGGTGTGTTCCAGAAGCTGACAGACATGTTGAAGGACATCCCCAGCCCCATCATGAGCTTCAGCCCTGACGAGATCAGATCGGTCGCTAGGAAGACGAAAGCGTGGACGGCTCACGGTGTGGACAGGCTCGGACCTCGCGATTTTCTTCTTCTTTCAGATCCGTGTTTGGAAGCTTTGAATGCACTATGGAGCTGGATGCTCCGTGATGGGATGATGCCGTCTCAGATTTCGCTTACTTTGCAGCCAGCCTTACCCAAGCCTGATGACGACGGTCATCGGCTCATCGCACTTTTGAGTATGACCGTCCGTCTTTGGAGCAGGTGTACTAGAGGTGTAGCAGCGAAATTGGAGTTGAATCACCAGAGGGTTTTTTCGTATGGGGCTAAAGGGAAAGCGTGTGAGAGAGCGATTTGGGATCAAGCATTTGCAGCAGAACATGCATCGATAAACCGGTTTGATGTTGCGAATGTGCTGATTGACCTTACCAAAGCGTACGAGAAGGTGAAGCACCTTCAGCTATTGTCTGCTGCTCGGCAGCACAGTTTCCCATTATACCACCTGCGCCTCTGCCTGGTCCTGTATTATTGCCCGCGCGTGCTCCTCATGCCTCCTCGTTTCCAGGCCCACTGTGGTGTATGCAACTATCTTGGCAGGTTGCGGATATGCTACAACGCTTTTTCGGGTTCGTATCATTGCGGATCTTGATAGCATGGTTCGTGCACACAGGTTGTGCAGGTTTTTTAACGTGGTCGATGACATCGCGATTCAGGTAATTGCAACCGCCAAGTTAGTCAGGGACTCGGCCGTCAAGGCCACGCGCGGCCTCTGCAACAGGCTCGAGGCCAGGCAGCTGATAATATCCAGAAGTAAAGGCAAAGTTGTTGCTTCTACTGCCGAACTGTCAGCTGGCATATGTGCAGGGCTTAAGACGTGGGGATTCAAATCGGTGCATTCGGTTCGGAATCTTGGGTGTGATTATTCGCTTCGGGGTCGTGCTGCTCACACCCAGAAGAGTCGGATCCGAAAGATCAGGTTGAGAGCTTGTCGGTTTCGTTCGCTTAAATCCCAGTTCAAAAAGCTAACTTCTGTCTCTCGCACGGGGGCCCTCCCAGCTGGCAGTTGTGGAATTGGCGTGATGGGAGTTTCCGACGAGCGCTTGCAGCACCTCAGATCCGTTGTGGCTGAGGGTATTTTTGGACCAGCTCGAGGGCGGACAAGAACTATCCAGTTTGCGCTCTCGGGCAATGATGCGGCTGACCCAGTGTATATCGGCAGCTCGGCTCCTTTGGTGTTCTGGGGTAAGGCTTTCTGGGGATCGCGGGCCCCCCAGCAGCAGATGGAGCAGGACTTCAGGTTCTACCTTCAGAAGTTGCCAGAGCTTTCCTGGGCTGAGGTCCGCGGTCCCACGGGGGCTGTCGTGTGCACGCTTCAGAGGATTCGATGGGTCCCTGAGAGTTATTCCAAGTGGTTCATGCCGACCGAGATGCCGATCGATATCAGTAAGCTTAGGAGCCGCAGCCTCAAGCGCCTCGTGGACCTGGCAACTAAGGATGTATCTGTCGGCGACCTGCAGTGGGAGCATGGCGGCGCCACCTGCTCCAGGCCCATGCTCGAGCCCATTGCCCAGGTATGCGAGGAGCTCAGGAAGAAAGGAGAGGCCTTGGAGGCCTCGTTGTTGGCTACCCATGTCTCCGGAGGGTTGGCCACGCAGCTGGAATTATATCAGGATCGACGGGTTCTGAGTGGGGCCTGTCAAGTGCGCGGTTTTCCAGAAGGGGGTAGGTTTCACAGAATGTTCGGATGCCCTGGGAACCAATTGTTTAGACGAGGCCAAGGCTTTGAAAGGGAGCTGCCTGAATGGGAACGTGGGGACCCTAATGGCCCCTTCCTCACTCGGTGCCTCCTACCCCCCCCCCCCCCCCCCCCCCACCCACAACAAGGCCCCCCGTGCCCGAGACTCTGGACAGGTGGAGGTGGATCGTTCCACCGCCTGACGGATTCGTTTCAGGTAAGATTTGCTCCGATGGCTCCGTCCTTGATCCCAAGGTTAGGCACCGTAGTAGAGCAGGATGGGCTTTCGCCATGATGAGGGATGCTGGGGACCTCCTGGCCAGTGCGTCAGGACCGCTCCCCCCGCTCCCTACAGGACATATATGGGGCTGAACTTTACGCTGTGCTCATGATCCTCAGGCATGCAGGGCCTGGCGATCTTGTTTTAGGCATCGATTGTGAAGCTCTTATTGAATCGCTTCGCTCATTCCGCCGGCCCGTATTGTGCCATCGCAGGCGTTTGCTTGCGCGTTCGTGGCCTCTTGGAGCCTCGTTGGGGCCGTTTGGGGCCTCTTGGCGCCTCTTTTTAGGCCTCTTGGAGGACTCGGGAGGCCTCCAGGGGGCCTCCTGAGCTCTCGTGACGGTCTCTTGGGGTGCTTTCGGCGGGCTCTTGGCGGTATTTGTTGGTCCTCTTGGGGCCTGGGGCCTGACGTTGTTGGTCCTCTTGGGGCCTCACGGGAGCTTATTGGGGCGTCTTGGGGGTGTCTTGGAGAGTCTCTTGGGGCCTCTTTCGGGGTCCTGGGCGCCTTCTGGGGCGGAGGGCTCGATTTTTCAGTTCTCGGTTCCCTTCTTGAGCCCCTCTTGGGCCCGTCTTGGGGCCTCTTGGTCCGCCTTGGGCGGCACTTGGGCCGTCTGGGGGGCGCTCTTGGGCCGCTCCGGGGCCGTCTTGGGAGCCTCGTGGGCCGTCTTGGAGCAGTCTTGAAGGCCTCTTGGGCCCTCTTGGAGCGTCCGGAGGCGACAAGGCCAGAACGCCAAAAAACAGCGAAAAACTAATGCAAATCAACGATTTTGGCAACTTGGGGCCCTCTTCGGAGGCCTCTTGGAAGGCCCTTGGAGCGTCTTGGAGGCCTCTTGGGCTGTCTTGGGGCCATCTGGGGCGTCTTCGGGCGATCTTTGGCCGTCTCGGGCCTCTCTTGGACCGTCTAGAAAGCTTCTCGGGGCCCTCTTGGACCGATCTGGGGCCCTCTTGGACTCCGAAACAGAACTCCGGCATCTCTGGCCCGACCTTGCCGGGACCTTGCCGGGGACTTGCCGGGGACTTGCCGGGACCTTGCCGGGGTACTTTTCGCCCGGGGGCCCCCAGGGGCCGCCCCGCGCGCGCGAACTAGAAATACTGTTAACCAGGTACCGGAGATCTTAGCACGCCCTGGCCCGTTGGGCCGGCGAATTTCTGTTTGGTCCCGAGGGTCTCTCCAGGACTGTACGGATTTGCCCTTCGGTGAGTTTTGGGCCGAAGTTGTTGCGCGGGTCGTGGACCGAGGCCCAGAAACCGTCACTGTCTTTAAGGTGCCTGCTCACAAGAGTAGGTTGCGTGCAGAGGCTCTAGGCTGTCCAGCCTGGGCGTGGCATGGCAATCGTGCCGTCGACTATTTGTCCAAGCAGGCCGCCCGTGAGGTCCCCCAGTCGCGGTACCTCCAGGACCTGGAGGCCAGGCAGGCCGAGCGGCTCGCCTCTCTTGCTCGCTATACGGCGAAGGTTCTCGGGCATTGGTCGAGACGGCGTTTTCCTGATGTAGAGCATTGTAAGGCTAGGCCCAGGGCGAAACCCAATGAGCTGCTCATAGTGCCGAGCCCGAGCGGTCATCAGGTTCAGCGCTGTGGCAAGGGATTTGCCTGTATGATCTGTTTGTCCCGCTCGAGGACATACACGGGGCTGGTCTTAACTAGTTGCACTGGTATCCCCAAGTTAATTCGGCAGGCGCACTCGACCCATCGACTTTGGGGGAGTCTCGAGTCCGTCCAGAATCAGCGTTTGTATTATTGTTCGGTGTGTGGGTGTTTTGGCAGAGCTAAGATCTTGAAGTTGGGTGCGATGTGCTTCGGGCATCCAGCAAATCGAGATGCTGCCAATAGTCTGTCCCTCCTGAAGCGGGGGATCGACCCCTCCACCAAGTCATATTTCGGCCACAGCATCCCCATTCAGAGAGGCTGAGGTAGCTGTGCTTGCCCAAATGTTGTTACCCACTCTGTCCCTCTTCGCTCTCGCTCTCTGCTGCTGGTCTCACACCGTGGGATCATGTAGTTAAAGGCTGAAAGGCTGAAAGGAGGAGGAGGAGGAGGGGCGAGGAGTCAGGAGCCAGGAGCGAGAAGCCTGGAGCCAAGAGCCAGGAGCCAGGAGGAGGAGGAGGAGGAGGAGGAGGAGGAGGAGGAGTAGGCCGGAGAGGACGAGGAGTAGGAGGAGGGGAGGACGGGAGGAGGAGGAGCCAGGAGCCGAGGCAGGAGAGGAGGGAAGGAGGAGGAGGAGAGCCAGGAAGGAGCGAAGAGAAGGTAGAGGAGGAGGAGGAGGAGGAGGAGGAGGAGGAGTAAGGAGGAGTGAAGGAGGAGAGGAGGAAGAGGAGCCAGGAGCTCGGAACCAGGAGCCGGAGCCGGAGCCCGGAGGAGCCCAGGAGCCAGGAGCCAGGAGCCAGGAGCCAGAGAGCCAGGAGCCGGATGAGGTAGGAGGAGGAGGAGGGAGGGATGAGGAGGAGGAGGAAAGAGGAGGCGGAGGAGGAGTGGAGGAGGAGTAGGAGGAGGAGGATGAGGAGGAGGAGGAGGAGGAGGAGGAGGAAAGGGGAGCAGCAGCGAAAAGAGGAGGAGGAGGAGGAGGAGAAGGAGCGAGGAGGAGGAAGGGAGGAGGAGGAACGAGGAGGAGGACGAGGAGCGAGGAGGAGCGAAGGAGGAGCGAGGAGGAGCGAGGAGGAGCGAGGAGGAGCGAGGAGGAAGGGCGAGGAACGAGGAGCGAGGAGCGAGGAGGAGGAGGAGGAGGAGGAGGAGGAGGAGGAGGAGGAGGAGGAGGAGGAGGAGGAGGAGGAGGAGGAGGAGGAGGAGGAGAAGGAGGACCGTCAACAAATCGACCGGATCGACCGGATTGTTCGTTTGGATGCTCCAGTGTCGGGACTTCTGGGAGCGCCGTCCTGAAATCATCAGGACGTCGCACGTCTGGGGACCCAGGAGGGGCCTTTGGGGCCCGAAAAGGGCACCGTTCGTGCCCCCCCCCCACCATGTATCGCCCCTCCAGAAATTCTCGCCCAGCTGAGGTCCGCGCGGCTTTTTGGATCGGCGCCGGACCCCCCTGGCTGCGCCTCCGGCGCCGCCCCTGGCGCGCTCAGTGCACCAGCGAGGGGGTCCGGCGCCGATCCAAGAAAGCAGCGCGGACCCTGAAAGGTGGACGTGCGTTCATCCTGTTTTGGCCTTCTTCTAGAGGAGGACGTGATGGATATGGACGCCACGAGCGAAGAGACGGTCAAGGGGGAGGTCGAGGACCGCCTGGAGGCTGAGCACCAGGCAGCGCGGGAGGCCAGCCGGGCTCATCGAACGACCCAACAGGACGCGCGAGCCGAGGAGGACGCCGTGGAGGAGGAGTTCATTGACATGGACACCAAGAGCGCCGAGACGACCGAGGGGGAGGCCGAGGACCACGCGGAGCCGCTCCTCCTCCTCCTCCTCCTCCTCCTCCTCCTCCTCCTCCTCCTCCTCCTCCTCCTGCTCGTCCTCCTCCTCTCCTCCTGCTCTTCCTCCGCCTCCATCCTCATCCTCTTCATCCTCCT